GCTTCCGATCCGTCTTCGATTTTGATTTATCGTAATGGATCAGATCATCGTTTTTCTTGGCTCGATCTGAGTTGAATGATGTGTTTATCATCGTAGATCCTCGATCTGTAACTGTTGTTGGTGTTAGTAACGTTAGCCATCGTTTTGTTCTTTCTTATTTCTGTTCCGTGGTTCGATCTAGAGCTACGTTTCTTGACTAAAGTTTTGTGAATCGATTGAAAGATTTGAGGGATTATGAGAGGCTTTTTCAGCTCACTCGCGTTGTGTTTGCTCTTCTCTTTCGTTTACTAGTGATTGATCTTGGTTTTTCGCTCGTATGAATCTGTTTTAATGGCTCTTGTTGTTTATGATTTTGTTTTTTTTTTAATCCGTACGTGCTGATTTAGGCTATTTCTGAGTTACTTATGTCCCTGGATTTGATTTGATTGTGGAGCTCATATATTTGTGCGTTGGTTCACAGAGTTTAGCGAAGATGACTAAGAACTACCCAACTGTGAGCCAAGATTACCTTAAGGCTGTTGAGAAATGCAAGAGGAAGCTTAGAGGTTTGATCGCTGAGAAGAACTGTGCACCCATCATGGTCCGACTCGCGTAAGTCACTAACCTTATCACCCTGCGGTTTCTGAAGTTTCTAAAGGGATGTGCAATTCTCATTGTTGGTTGATCTGTTTGGCTGATTGCAGATGGCACTCTGCTGGAACATTCGATTGCGCCTCGAGGACTGGAGGTCCATTCGGTACGATGAGGCTTGAGGCTGAGCAAGCTCATGGAGCCAACAATGGTATCCACATTGCTCTTAGGTTGTTGGAGCCCATCAGAGAACAATTCCCTACCATCTCTTTTGCTGATTTCCATCAGGTATTTATAATTTCAGAACAAATCTCTTTGGTGTGAAATTGATAGCTCCCAGGGTTCTAACTCACGGTGTTCTAACTCACGGTGTTCTTTGGTGTGAAATCTATATTTCAGCTTGCTGGTGTTGTGGCCGTTGAAGTCACTGGTGGACCTGAAATCCCTTTCCACCCTGGAAGAGAGGTTAGTCATTTGCTATAGATTGGTATGCTGCGATTAAGGTGGATCAAATGCTTAATTGGCTGAGAGAATGTGTTTTTGTGTTATGCTTTCTTTTTAGTGATGACTATGTAGAAATGTAGTCCATTCTCTCAGAACTTATAATACTAAAACACGAGATTGGAATTGAATGGATAAATGCTGTGAGATTTAATAGACTGTTATTAAATTGAATGTCTTCCTTTCAGGACAAGCCCGAGCCACCTCCAGAGGGTCGTCTTCCTGATGCTACAAAAGGTTGTGACCACTTGAGAGAGGTCTTTTCTAAGCAGATGGGTTTATCTGACAAGGACATCGTCGTTTTATCTGGTGCACACACTCTGGTTCGTTTCTCTCCCGACTTGTTTTAGTACTTTTTGTTGATGTTGTTCAAGTCTTCAAATTGTGATGTGTGCTTGCAAATTATAATACAACAGGGAAGATGCCACAAGGATAGGTCTGGCTTCGAAGGTGCCTGGACTTCAAACCCTCTGATTTTCGACAACTCTTACTTCAAGTGAGTATTCTAAGTTTCAACACTCTAATAATAGGTGTTCGTTTATACATCCATGATTCAAAGGCTGATATGTTTTTTTAATTGATAATCAGGGAACTCTTGACCGGAGAGAAGGAAGGCCTTATTCAGCTTGTCTCTGACAAGGCACTATTAGATGATCCCGTTTTCCGTCCTCTCGTTGAGAAATACGCTGCTGTATGCATCCTTTCTTTTGTTCTTCGTGTTTTTCTCTTCTTGATTTGGTATAGAGAAGTCAATGTTGCTTGTCACAATGTGAACAGGACGAAGATGCGTTTTTCGCTGATTACGCTGAGGCTCACTTGAAGCTTTCGGAGCTCGGGTACTTATTTTGAATCTCTGAATCATTTGGAAGTAAGTATAAAATGAAATGGTATATGATACGAGTTTGAATCTCATGTTGGTTGTGCAGGTTTGCTGATGCTTGAGCTGTGACATGTGTTGGTGTCTCATGTTTGCTTTTGGTTGAGGGCCGGAGGGATCACGTTGCAGTTGAACTTTGTCATTTGATTGTTTAATGTACTCTCGGATTTGCGTAGCTTTGTTTTATTTTTTGTGGGGTTTTTGTGATTTTGACGCATATCTGTTGCACTTCGGCTGGTTAGACATTCTAATAAATCAATTTCGCTCACTACTACATCTCTTATGCCATAATTTATTAAGTTATTTCATGATTTAAAGTTGCTGTAGTTAGTGGTTAGCCAACAAAACAAATTAAAAGTGTGTATTCGGTGCGAATAAGGGTGTCGTCGAAGAACACTGCTTCACGCTTTCAGAGGAAAGAGAGAAGAGTGGAAGAACACATAAAACGAAGATCTCCCTTTGCTATTATCACTAGGCCCACTTAAGTGCAATATTGGGCTATTTGTGTTAGCCCATAATATAATCACGTTATGCACAAAGAATAAAAAGGAAAGGCTAGTTTTCGATTCAATTTTTTCTTCCTCGTTCCTAAAAATCCTAATCAAGGGTTACTCTCTCGTTTCCTCGTGTTCGTTGTTCTGCCGATTTCGTCGAGAGCATTAGCTTGGAATTGGAGTGCGTTTGGGCAACAAATAGTTGAGCGAAGATGAGGAGTATGATCGATGGAGGTGTGTGGAAGAACACCGAAGATGAGATTCTCGAAGCCGCCGTGATGAAGTATGGTAAGAACGAATGGGCTCGGATCTCGACTCTTCTCGTTCGTAAATCGGCCGAACAGTGTGAAGCTCGCTGGTACGAGTGGCTCGATCCTTCTTCTATCAAAAAGGTAAATAGCGTTCGCGTCTTCCTTCGATGAATTTTGTTTTGGATCTGAGAAACAATGAACAAATATTCTGGAATTTAGGATTATAGGTGGTTTTTGGTAGCTTGTTTTTACTCGGAGTATCTTGATTTGTTTCTGAAATTCGTATGGAATATTCTATAAGGTTTTTTTTTTTATCTTGTTGAAGAATTAGAAACTGAGTTGTTTTCTTATGATGATGTTTTAAGGCAGACTGAATGGAGCAGAGAAGAAGATGAGAAGCTTCTACATCTTGCAAAACCTTTGTCTACTCAGTGGAGAACTATTGCTCCTATTGTGGGATTTACACCATCTCAATGCCTTGAAAGGTATGAAAAGCTCCTTGATGCAGCATGTACTAAAGACAAGCATCCACATCCTCGTGAGATTGATCCAAATCCAGAATCAAAGCTTACACGTCCTGATCCTTGAGCTGTGACTTGTTTTTTGTGATTCTGACTCAGATCCGTGTTGCACTTTTGCTGGTTAGACATTCTAATAAATCAATCTCTCTCACTATTACATCTCTTATGCTTCAATTTGTTAAGCTTTTTTTCATGATTAAAATTTATGTAGAGCAATGAGATACAAATAGGTGCGAGAATAGGCTTTTTTTGGGAATTTGAAACAATAAGCTCCAAAGTTTGGAATGAGAGTAGCAGTTGTTGGACTAAGGGTTGGAAGAGAGTGTATTAGCTCGGAGAATTGTGTATGCCATTGCGTCAGTGTGATCACCTAGCCTAGAGGTTTAATTTGCCTTGTTAGTCCGCGGTCAGTTAAGAAGGTCTTCCTCGGCTTAAATGGTATGGCGCAATTCCTTGACCTGAAAGGTATCCCATCACAGAGAGTGTTGAAGAGGAGACCATACACAAGAGATATATAGTGGTAGATGGGTACATTCATCACGAGTTCGGGCTGAGCTGAGACGGATGACTCAGGCTTGTAAGGTCCCTGTGATAACCATAGAGCCATCCAAAATTATAGCTCTTTAAGACTTTTTTCGCTGAAGGATCTTTCTTTTACCCAACACCATGACACTTTTTGCAACCTTCCGACCTTTAAATGCAAAATACAGATCCGTAATCTTGTCGAACCATGGACCAGCACAGATTAAATTATTAAATTTGGTCCCCTCTTCGTCGTCAATATCCAAATTCGTGATCTTAAAAACTCTATTTCTTATGTTGGATAGTACACCAATATAAGTTACCGGTCATTATTTCAATTTTGAAATGTGCCCAATATATATGCAAATAAAACGACGAATTTGGATCTTGGGTGTTCTAAACTGGAATCAGGTTGTGACAATAACTAGTTAAATCTAGCTTCTTGATTTTTTTTTATAGAAAATGTGAAATTGGAGTGACGAGAGAGAAGTAAAATGGAGGGACTTTTTTGCCAAAAAAA